TGCGGCCAATTGGCACATACGAGAAATTAAAAATCACTATAAAATTAAAATATACACGTATCATAAAGTACATCACGTACATACTATATCGAGCAAATTGTGGCCTTGCACGTTTCCTCTCCCATTTTTTTAGGCCTCGATATAATTTATTTCACATTTGAATCAGCACAACGATTGACCTATTCGTCTTTTTCGACTAACAATCGAACACTATTTCATTGTAAGGTTCTAAATCTAAAGCCGTACGCTCAATATAGAAGTAATTGCAATCCCAATACATAACGTATGTATGTACACAGCGTATGTGTGATAATAATAATTTGAAACCAATTGATAATTTTTACACTTTCGTAGATTTATTGATACATACTCGTGTATATTAAACATTTGTAAATAAGTACAATTCAGATTGAAATAATTCGACATTTCTTCATAAGTTCAATTATACATACGTAAAATACGTTACTCGAACACGCTGCAGTAGAATGGCCGCATTAAACATTTATCGATTTATTACTGAACGTTTCCGTTAAATATAAGATTCCTTCGTGATGAGTAATAGGAAATAATTTTTAGCTAAAAGTTAAACAGAATGAGTCCATTTTATAGTCAAATCAGTACACTACTATAATGATACTAACGAAATGACAAATTTTTAAATAAAATTATTTAATTAATCGAGTTATCTTCAATTATATTATATAAACGTTGTTTTGTAGATAAATAATAATAATGTAATGTAATATTAACCAACATTTTATATTTTCTATAATCTTAATTATATTCAGCCATATTAATTAAAAACATCCGATCTCACCATCTATTTCATATTTTCATTTTTATGTTTAAATAGGTTTACGACAAAAACAATATAAATTACAAATTAATTAAAAATGTATCATATTACTCAATGTGAAATTGTATTCTTATTCTCGAATTTGAAATTGAATTTAATTATAATTAAGATATTAACAATTTTTTATGCTTATCTTTAAAACGCATAAAAATTGTAATAATCTGTAATTCATTTTATAGTATTGTAAAATAAATAATAAATGTTTTTACACATCTTTATAATGTTGTTGAATATTTAATAAAACACTTTTAATTATTTTACTAAATTATAAAAAATGTAGTTACGTTACATAGAAATTCAATAATTCATTAAATCATTAACATTTATGTTATAATTATAATTAAGACTAAAAAATTATAAATAGCCACAGAATGTAGAATAAATGTAATTGGATTACTTAGTATCAACTACCACGAGCTTATTTAAAATAAAACTACTTATCTACTATGGTAACCTAATTAATAAAAGTTTAAGTCAATCATTTACCAAAATAAGAATAATTTTAAAAAACAATGTTTTCCCAAAATTATTTTTTATTCAATGAACATCACTTCAAATTAATTATGAAATTAATATTTATTAAAAACTATTAAAATTATTTTTTATTAACAATTTATCGACTAGCTTATCAATTCGAAAAAGGTTCAGCGTTAAGGAACTTTTCAATGATTAGGTTTTCAACTAATTGACCTTACACGAGGCTTTAGAAAATTAGTTACATACCATTATTCAATAACCCATTCTAAGCAAAGTACACGTAAGAATAAATAATACAGCGCTTAGAAAGAAGTGTTCGAGAAACAATCAAAATTAACATTACGGTAAGATTGTAGTTTTGCAAAACATAATACATTAAAAATGTCATTTGCCAAAATCGTCGAAAGACGGAGGTCGAAAGTTATGTATTCAATCGGTATATATAGGAATATGAACCATATTTTATGGTCTGACGAAAACGAATCCATTGAAACGCACATCAGCATCATCACTACTAGTCACCACCAGTATTATTACCAGTGGAAAGGTAAAATATTTTCAAGTACATTGACTCGCCAAGAAACAAGCAAACTTAAACTGGATTCCATTGCTAGAATATAATATGTACCAGATGATTTTCTTTCATGTCCATATAAACCGTCGTCGCTGCCAGCCCACTACTTCTACTACCATTCCTCTTCTCAAGACAACCCTACTTGAAGCGTTGGCGTTGTGCGACCATTACGAGAACCACGCGAGAGACTACGTGTGATTCGATTCAATTGTCTCTCGTTGCACGGTCGATGGAGGGTGCAACAGAACTAGTTGTAGGGAAGGGGAATGATTAAAGACGCTGTTATTTGTATACAATAAGCATGAAATTATACACTATTATTTTGTACGACGAGAGATAAAAATTAAAATAAATACAATAAGGTCGTATTTGGAAAAGCGTGCACGGGGTGAGGAAATGAGAAAGATATATATTGATAAAATTCGAAATATTCGTCAAACCACGTAAAGCAGAAAGTAATGTGAGATTACTATACGATTTACCATTAGGATTCGGCGTTAGAATTCCAGAGTTAACGATACATATCAAAGAAGCCAAATACTAACCATCAATATACGGACAGAACTGTCTCGGTGTGTCGGTCGCCAGAAGAACAGGTGCGGTGGTTTCAGGTTAGGGCGAAAGGAATTCGGGCAACAACGCGAGAACACATATCCACGCGCATCGGCCGGGAACAAATTGCACACGTTATAATAACGTAAATTGAAGTACTCTAAATAATCATTTCACGTATTACGCAAATGTTATTATGGCCGGGGAATCGATAGAATCGCGAGAAGCCACAAGATATCGACGTTTACCCACGTCTATATGCATATATGTATAAGCGACCGACTAATTAGCACAAAATATAATAATAAAAATAATAATAATAATAATAATGAAATAAAAATACCGAACACATTGGAACCGGTCCGACGGGTTTCTATGACCATACCATACGTAAGACGTGAGTGCGTATACAACAATAATTCAATATTGAATGTATAATAATAATAATAATAATACGTACGCATCTCTCGTACGCATATCGTAGAACATTTGATGTTATACTCGTTCTGTTATAGTGGTCGCACGTATTGTAGTACAGCAGTTATTACTGCGATCGTGTAATCGACCGGTGTAATACCCACACCGTTTAATTTGGTCAACCTGTTTGTACACCATAGTGGATTTCTACCGCGGAATAGATGAAATCTATTTGGTGTTTCAACAACACTCGTCACTCGCTATAGCAGTACGACGTGATAATATGAAACAATTTTATGTATAGAACGTCCACCGAACATGCATACGTACGTTATGTATAATAACAATCTGATTTCTAAATCGCGCTGTAAATTGTTTTTTTTTTTTAAACCTTATTGTAGCAAACGTCACAAACATCACCATGTGTATAGACGTTTTTAAATAATTTACAATACACGTATCACGTATTTGCATAAAAATTTGAGACGAAAAACAGTCTTCTACAGGAAAATAATTATTTATTCATTAATTATTCGATCCGAGGCTAACAGTTGTTATCTTAGCACGTAATTATTATGGTATTAAAAATATTTCGTCATTGTGAAGTCATTTGACAGTTTCAACTCTCATGATTATTTAACTTCTATTAAAGCGTTTTGTAATATGGATTTTACTTGAATGATATATTCAGGTGTAGGTATAATTAAAACTAAGTACACACGATAAGACAAGTAGTGGTTCTTTTTTCGGATCGCGAGAAGAACTAAAGCAAAAATATTATCACTCTGATAAGTCTTAAGAACCTGAAGTAATATTTTATGACAACTGAATCTAAAAATCTCACGCCCTACTTTACTTCCGGAGCATATGACCAATTTTCAATTGATATAGTTATTTAAAATTCCAAGGATATATAGTGTTTATATTGCTTTTAATAGATCTCTTAATAAAACCTAATTCTACGATACATTTCTATGTAGCATGTAAAACATACTAAAACGAATAATAATAATTACAATAATAATAATGCTAATATCTATTCAAACAAAACCAACCACTGATAAACCAATGGAAATTATTATGGTCATCAAAAAACTATTTTACTCCGAAAGATAATAAACTCGTTAATGGTATTATAAAATTAATAATACAAATTAATTATTTGGTAAAAAGTTGAACGTATGAACAGAGAAAATGCACCTGTGGGTTTAAGACACGTATAAATATTTTATTTCCAACCGACTGGAATTTATTGAACTATTTCACCCGATGGTAACGGACACGAGTACAGAAATATAATGTGTATACATGCCAACTGTGATACTATGTCCGAAACCAATAAAAATTCGTTATTATTAGTAAAGCACTTAATGCGTTCATTTTATTAATTGTTATTAATTAATATTAATTAGTAAAACAAATATAGCCGGCAATGAATAATAACGAAAATTCATGGTTCTCGCATGTACTTAAAAGGACGTGAAAAATTATAAAAAGTTCGATTACACAAAACTGTATTGCATTATGAAAAATTAATAATAATAGTGTTTTAAAAAAAAAAGAAAAAAACGATCAAGTAGGCGGAGAATACGGATCGTGTATGGCGATCGCTCCGTATGCACTTATGCAGCGGCGGTGGTAGCGATTACGTGGCACGCCGGTTGATCGGCCGTGGCGCAGGTTATGTCTGTCAACAACCGGGGCCCAGGCGGCGGCGGTAGCGTCCGCCGCCGAGAGGAACACCAGCCGTCGAACAGCAGTGGCGGTGGCGGCAGCGATCACGTGGCCACGCGCGTCCCGGACCCACAGACTGACTGACTGTGGGCATGAATGGCGCGTCCCCGCCGCTTCGACCGACGACTTTCCACGCACGCCCGCCCACCACCGCACCGGGGCTACTACGTCATACGATAATACCGTGCAACGGCATACGATAATTACCGTACCCATTGAGCAACGGCAATCTAACAAACGCACATCGTAACACTCGCGTGACGTCGCTCATAGTACACAGCACGCCACAATATCGTATAAATATACTACGTAAGCGCGCGCGCCTGTGAATTGTACCAACAAAAGTATTTTTTTTTCTCTATCAAATTATATCGTGCATTATGTTTTTACCCATCGTTTCCGAGGCTTGTTTCGTGGGTCCACAACCACCAGTCGGACGCGATTAAAAGCTCGTTGCTGCTGCTGCGGCTGATGATGATGATGATGATGATATAACACGGTTCCGACGTCGACACGGCACTTGACCATAGTGTTTTTTACTAAACGACGGACGACACATACCTTTGCGGTGGCAACAACGGTGCTGCACCGCTACTAATACTGTTACGAACACGATTACGAGGACGACGACGACTGCACATGTAGAATGGGTGTACACTGAAAGCGCGTTTCGAAGACACATACGAGAAGTAGTTGGTAGCGCGGCGACGGGACGGGGGAGGTTGGTGGTGTCCACCCTTCCTGCACGTACACACACGCACGGAACTGCTCACACGGCCGTTCGCTGTGCACCCTCCCCCCGTACTCCTTCGTCGCCGGTACACCACACCACGACGACGTTGATCAATAACACAGCAGCATTATCAGACGCATAACAACAACAACAACAGCATCATATCATCATCGACGGCAGAGCAACACAACACAGCAGAGAGCGCACTCGCGCACGAAAAGACGACACAGCATCCGGACACGGAGGAATAATGCAACGTAGGCGCACGACACTGTGCAATCGCAGTAGCAGCAGTAGTCGTCGTCGTCGTCTTCGATGACCCCGCGCGGCTGTCCTTTTGTACGACGCGATACGCGCGCGGTGGCGTTCACCTCGTGCCGTGCTGTGGGGGCAGTGGCGAGAGGGGGATAAAAATAAAAAGACCTCTGCTGCCAGACCTCGCTGCTCTGTTCTTCGCGTACCTAATAACGCGTACATACAATACGCACGGTAACAGCAAGCGAGCACAACAGTCAGAACGATAGTAACGGCGGCAGCAGCAGCAGCAGCAGCACAGCGGCGGCGGAGGGCGACGACGACACAAACTCTCGGGCGGCCGCACGCGTACTACTATAATTCTACCTACTACTACTACTACTACTATTACGGCGGCGGCGGCGGCGGCGGCGGACAGAGTTGCCGGCCCGGCGTTGTATACGTATTATAGTAGTATTTACCATTTGAGTGTATGTATTTCACACACCAACGGCGGCATTGGCGGCGGACAGAGCAAAGAGTTTACGGTACGCACCGCCGCGCGGCGCTCCGGTGATTTTCACTGGTTGTTTATACTGTATTATATACACGACAGCGGGGTTTAGGACGACAACGACGACGACGTCACGAGTGAGAGAGAGAGAACTAAATTAAATATGGCGTTCCGTCTGTAATACACGTCGATGTGTATATTTCGGATTAGCTTGTTTTTTTTTTTTTCCATCGTCTCCCTCTTCCCCATATTCCCGCAGACCCTACACCTTTCCGTCAACGACGACGGATATACACATATACACATACACACACACACACACACACACACACACACCAACATTAATAAGGTATAATGAGTGTGCGTGCGTGTTGGCGAGCGAGTACAAGTCGTGAATAGAGTGGGCGGGAGTGTAGGAAGAAGTGAGAGAGGAGAAAAAATCGACTTATAGCGTTATACGAATGTGTATACATAATATTTAAATACCATACACACGTCGACGTAATGTGTGTGCGTTAAAAAAATATTTATTACGGATCGGCGCCGCCGTGTACGAAATTATTATCCCTCCTCTTAGTAATACACGATTTTACCTTTTTTGTTATAACCACACTGAACCGAGTAAATAATTCAACCAAACGTTCCGCTTTTTATATCTACCTCCAATATCGACCTTGATAACACATACACGGAGAAATTAAGATAAAGGAGTAACGTTTCTGTGATCGGATACCAACGTCCAAGTTCCATTTGGAAAATCGACGCAACATACTTTATTAAAGATATGTTTTACTCAACGCAAGATAGAAACATGATACTATCCGTCGACCACGTTTGTAATAATAATCGTCGAACTATAAAAGAAATAATCCGTAGAATTTTCAGAGATCACACCAATATCATGACAAACAATAATATATAAGTAACATATAAATGTTGTACAAAACGGTTGCACTGACAACAAAAATGAACTTCAAAGACCATCTGTATGTTGATCAAACACCAAAGATTTCATCCATCTTTGAATGTACAAAATCATGTTATTTATTCGTTTATTACTTAATGACTATACATGTTATACAAATTAAAAAAAAAGGATTACATGATATAGATTAGAAACTAGATTAGAAATTTGAAAATTGCTTTTTTTTCTACCTCAGCATATCGTCGCAATACTGTTATAGTGTTTTTTTTTATAAATAATAATAACAATATGATAGTAGATAACAGATAACAGATAGATAACTGACAACATATCAGATTTACTTAGGATTTAAATGTCCATACGTATATTCAATACTTATTTAAATGTTCAATTTAACTTTTATGACTAAAAAAAAAAAAGATAAACGGATTAAACGAAAAAACATTAAGTACGTGTTTTATTGACTTGGTTCAATAATTCAGTTTTTTCTATAGCATAAATCATTAGTCAAAATTAAAGAATGACATAAAGGTGGCACTCTTTTACCATATTTCATAGTGAAGTAGAATACGTAACGTTTACATTTCATATGTTATTCATCCTAAGTACTGCAAATGAAGTTCAAATAAAACAGAACTCAAATACATAAAGAGAAAATATATACAAAAACCGCAGTTGTGTTATTAGTTTTAAATATTTTATACAAAATGTGGAGAATTAAACAAAACACATATACAATTCAAAACGATTTAATACAGGTTTTGGTTCAGGTACATGCGGCGATATTGTAAATATTTTAAATAAAAAAAAAAAGGCATGCAAACAAAATGTTCCGAGATGATATATTATAATTAGTTCTTATCATTTCAAAGAAAATTGAATCAACTAGGTATTCAAAAACCAATAATATATATATATATAACAAATATTCTCATATCGAAATAACAGTATACGTTTTTTGGTTTACGAATTAAGTATCAGCAACAAACGTTCTTTCGACGCATCGAACAAAGCTTGGACAATAATGAATACTGTACAACGTAATATTATATTGAATATAAATGAAAATAATTAGTAGCAAGTTTATTATCCACTGAAAAATATCTATATATGGCCCTTCTTTAGAATCGTACACTAAATACGATACTAATGACGAAGATGATAATGATCATCATGTCGATGACGAACTCATTGAAATTACCTAGATACTAGGTTCATTTGTAGTTCGCCCCACCACAAATAATGATACCGTTAAAAATAACCTCTATGCAAAGGAAGATGTATGTGTACACAAAGATCCGAGAATAGGAAGTTACCGCCAATTGTCGTCGACAGAGAATTTAAAAATAGAAATACTCATGAGACTGCCTGGAATTACGTGACAACACAAGTATACGAAGATGTATAATATGTTTTTAAAGACGACGACAGAGCGACGATCATCGTACTCGTAATAATATTTTATGACGGTATGATAAAAATGGAATAAGACAATCGTTTAACGAAGAAGAGTCACCTTGAAACGCAAATTAATATCTAGTAATCGTGAATGATCGGTACCTGTTCGAGAAGTTTTAACGATTGGGAGAAAAAAAAATCTTATACTCTCGAAAAAATACGATTTCCATCAATTATTGTAATTCGCCGTCGGCCGCACGCGCACACGAACCGTAGGAAACCGATACCGAATATGGCAGGATGCAGCTGAAATATGGACAGAATAATATTGTTGTCTCAAATATTTAATATACAATAACGTAACGTTTTTGTAATTTGCTGGATGGTATTTTTTTTTAGTTTTCAATCATACCGGTAGTAACGCAAGTAATGTGCAGAAAACTTACAAATAATATAATTAGACGTGCTCGTAAGTGTCTGATCATACACGAAGATTTACGGATTATTTTGTAGTTTTATTGGCTGAATTACTACGCGTGTACGTGATTTCGATTGATTAAAAAACGCACACATAGACCGGTCGGTAATAAAATTAAAATTAAATCGATAATTTATTGTAATAATGTGTGTGCGAAATGTACACACACGTTGTGCGTCGTATGCGCATGCAACACACGAAATACATATGATTTTTATTATTTTTTCATTTATTCGTTTCCGACGCGAGAGCCAAGTTTCGACAACGTTATCGAATAAACGGAACACGGCTGTTGCCATTTACACGGACCTCGTAACTAAATTCAATTGCGCGTCGTTATCCGCGCCGTTGTACGCCATCACACACCACGATGACAATAATTACTTAGATTTTATAATTTTTATCATTAGTTATTACAATCATTATCATTATTATTCCGTTTCCGACGATTCGCAATAATTTAAACACTTTTTTTCCCTTTCTTCTTGCCACTAACTTAATTCATTTAAAGTCTCTACGATATATTTTGTTAAATTTCGTTCACAACAAGTCACCACATATTGTACAAAATACATTATAGTTATTATTCTATTCCGACGATGAAAACTCGCTGCGAATTTACAGTTGAAACAGGTGGGGGAAAACATACACACATACATAAAATCGAACTGTGTTATAAATAATATACGAGTGGAAACGCGTATGTGCGCGTAAAATGTATATCCTGTGGGGACGTGTAATGGTTTTTTTTTTAACTTACTCGTGCGCCGATGAATCTGGCTTCCAGTAATTCCTGTTTACGTGGATCCAGCGCAGCTTGGAAGTGATGCTCCATTTTGACGCTAGCACCTAAACGAAACAACACAAAACCAATATCAGCGAAACCGTCGGCTAAATCAGTTGTAAATCACTACTACACATAATTATATATTTTTCATAAGACGACTATATTTTGTACAACTGTACGTGTAAAAATAATGATTTCCCCTTCTCTCGCTCAGCACTCACATCAGAAGTCAAATTAAGAGGCAGCGACGGCGTCAAGTACACGTCAGGCGAATCGTCTGCCTACCAAATCGGATCCTGATGTAATAACAATGATATAAATCACGTGGAAGACGACGTAATGGAAAAAAAAATGAAAATAACGGATATTGACATATCGTAGAGTGACACACATTGGTCAAGCACCGCGTATTGCGTACACAGTATTATTGTTGTCCGGGAGAATTTCATTTCTGCGGATACGAGTGCGCCAGCACATTATTATTATTGTGTGAACACATTCGGTGCAGCAGTTCACGTACATTCGCGCGTACGTACATAAAACGCATGTTTGATAGACAACTCGATTGCAAACATTGAAACTCATATTCTGTCCGGCGACCAAGTCAAAATGGCGTATTTATAAACAGGTCGCGCAGCAAATGTCGAAGGTCAACGGCAAGTTAATTTTAACTTATCAGTATATATATATTTATTTTTTTTTATTCACGCTACTAATTACTATTTCTTTTTCCGAGTCGATAAATAAAAAATTCCTGCTCATTTTGTCGTTCATTGTGTCCCGCAAAATTTTCCAACATTTCGGTCTTGCCTCCCCCTTCTCATGACACAAAACCCTCCCATAACCCACCCCTCCACTTCACTCACCGCATACCGCACGACACCACGGCGCGCAAACACAAAACGTACACACACACACACACACACACACACATAATTTATTGCGGTACTTTACCGTCGCCACCGTCCGCTCATCGTCAATGTTACGCCACCGCCGCCGCCGACGACGACGACGGTCGTCCCCACACGCATACACAGGCTTGCAAACCAAAAACGCGCGCAGGCGGGCGCGGGGGAAAATCTATTCTTATCGGGTTATCGCACTTGGGCCAACCTAATAAGAGCCTCCCTGGCCTAAACTCACCCGGACGCACACACGTAAATACACGTGATAACGTAGGATTAACGGTTGGCGAGCCGTTAAACGAGCTCGATCCACAACGGAGTTGAGACACATGGTTTGATGGTTTTCTTTTTTTTTGTGAAGGGTAGT